TAGGCGCCAAGCCGTGCGAGTGGTTTGGTCTAGGCGCCAGACCCAAAAATTTTCTTTCCTCGAGTTTTAAGTATATCATAACAAGACTAAGCCTTTTAAATCAAAATTTCTCATTAATTTGACATCATACCTCATGTTTATTATTTCTCCCAACATCTTATATCTTCCAATTTTTAATGTGAAATTAATTCCAACATTCTAACATAGGCTTTACACAAACATAACTTTCATTAATAACTTTTAAACAACAATACAATATCACACACAAACACAATTAAGCAAACAAACACAAGAAAACCAATACACAATCAACAACAAGTTAAAGTAACACACAAAAACATCATTTACTAAAGTGAACACAAATTCAAAACACAAACACTTGAATCCTATTCTAACGATTAATCCTTGTTGGTTTCATTCTAATGATCAATCAAATGTGTAGAAGACAAGGGCACGAGGAAATTCCATAGTCGTCTTTTCATTAATCCATTTGTTCTTGCTATACATGGATACCTGGGAATCTTGATAATTAGCCAAGTGGTCAGATTGAAGTTTCATCTGCCACTCGAAATGCTCATACTAGTGACACATCTCATGCAACTTATTGTGTAGATTGGAAAGCTCCTCTTCAATCTTCCCCAACTTTTTTGTCACCTTTTCCAAATGTAGTGCTAAGAACCCATTGAAATAGGTTTGGGCATCATTGTGCACAAACTTATTTCCAATGAACATTCCATTCTCTCTATTCTTCGTGGAAGCAAGTAAGATCTCAAAACCTTTCTAAACTCTTTTCTCTGGTCAAAATTTCAAAGGTACAAAGATTAGGGACGAAGGCTATGCCATTTTATAGAGAAGACATGGAGGAAAACTACTTTAGGGCTGTTTTCCCACATCCAGAAACTGTCGCGCCTAGGCGCCAGCTTCACAGGACACTGGTGCTTAGTGTCTTAGGCGCCAGTGTCCTAGTAAACATCGATTTGTCTAATGTCAATTTTCTGCAATTTTAAATCATGTTTAATACCTTAAATAGTGTTAAAAAGTGCTACTAAAGAAAAGGATACGATAATTCAACAATAAAAAACATAAATCAAATCACACAAATAGATTATGGGTTGTCTTCCACAAAACGCTTCATTTAACGTTGTAAGCCCGACGCATCCAAATGTTTTACTCGGATAGACCCAACATCAAAGTTTCTTTATAATAGGGTTTGTTTTCTCCAATGTATGGTTTCAACATTTGTTCATTTACTTTAATTGTACGTTCAGTTTTTTGATTTTAATCTCCACAGCTTCATAAGAATAAACTTGTCACAATAAATGACATAATCCACCCGGACTTAAGTTTTTCGGGAAATAATTTCAATCGTGTATTGTATAATAAAACTCTCTGTCCAGGCTTAAAATTCTTCCTTGAAATCTTTTGATCATGCCAAATTTTTATTTTTTCTTTATAAATTTTAGTATTTTCGTAAGATTCATTACTAATTTCCTCGAGCTCATTTAATTATAATAATAATTTTTCTCCAGCATTCTTTAAATTATGATTAAATTCTTTTATCGCCCAATAAGCTTTATGCTCTAACTCAACTGGTAAATGACAAGTTTTTCTAAATATGAGTTTATTTTCTATAAGAATTTTATAAGCAATTCTATAAACTAAATATGAGTTTATTTTCTATAAGAATTTTATAAACAATTCTATAAACCCATAATGTAGACTCAAGTCTATCAGACCAATCAGTTCTTTTAGGATTTACAGTTTTCTCCAAAATTCTTTTGATTTCACGATTTGATACTCTGCTAATCTACTAGTCTGAGGGTGATAAAATGTGACAATTATATATTTAATTTCATATTTTCTAAGTAATATGTTAATTCTAAAATTCTTAAAATGACTCCCCCATCTGTAATTGATTATTCTTGGCATTTTAAATCTAGTAAAAATATTTTTGTTTAGAAATTTTGAAACACTCAGAGCATCACAATAAGGTAAGACTATTGCTTCAATTTATTTAGACATAATCTACAGCTAATAAGATATAAATCTTTTCTGAAGATGGTTCAAATAGTCTCATAAAATCTAAACCCCATACATTTATGAGTCTTTTATTGATCCTCTGGAGCAATAGTTATTTGGTGGTAACCAGAATCTTCATTTAAAAAGCAAAAATATTCATGCGTGCTAGTCTATCCAACATTGCGTCTAAAAGGTAAATGAAAGTGATCATTCCTAGTGGCGGTTTTTAATTTTCTATAGTCAATACAAATTTACCATCCTGTGACCTGTCTTGTTGGAATTAATTCATTTTTTTCATTTAAAACTACAATCACTTCTCCTTTTTTAGGAACACAATAAATAAAACTTCACCTATGCACTATCATATATATGATAAGTAATCCCAACATCTAACAACTTAATTTTTTTTTTTTACCACTGCTTTCATCATAGGATTTAATCTTCCTTGAGGATTAGATCTATGTTTGCAGCCATCTTCCATTAAAATTCTGTGCATACAAATTGAATGACTGATTTCTTTTATATTTATTAATGTCCAACCGAAAGATTTTTATAATTTCTTAGTGTATCCAATAATTTTTCTTCCTGATTTTTAGTTAAATCTGAGGATATTATCACAGGTAAAATAGATGAATTCCTAAGTATGCATAATTTAAATCTGGAGGAAGTACTTTCATCTCAAGCTCAGGAGGTGCTCCTATTGAATGAATTAGAGATTTAATATTTTCAGTAGTTTTCAAAATTTCAAAGTTTTTCTGAACATAATTTGTATCCTCAACATTTATTTATGATGGTTTTTCTTCAAAATCACATTCACATTCACTGTCTATTCTTTCCTGATCTAATATCACTTCATTTTTTTCCTCATAAATGTCTTCATATTTTTTTTTGATAATGTTTAGAAATCATATAATCCATAACAAGATACCTCATTAACTTTAAAACATTAAATGTTACTACCTGGTCGTCATTAACTCTCATGATAAACTCACCTTTTTGCACAACAATCATAGCACGTCCGGTAGCAAGAAAGGTCTCTCCAAAATAATAGGAACTTCTTTATCTTCTTACATGTCTAACACAATGAAATCTACAGGGAAGATAAATTGATCCACCTTAACAAGTTCATATGCTATAACCTTTTTAGAATAAGTAATAAATTGATTAACTAACTGAAATGTTACAGTAGTGGAAGAAATCTCTCCTAAGTCTGACCTTCGAAAAATGGATAAAGACATGAGATTAATGCTAGCTCCCAAATTGCATATGACATTTTCATAAAATTTCTCTCCAATTGCACAGGGTATTGTGAAACTACCAGGGTGTTTAAATTTTTGAGAAAGCTTCTTTTGAATTTTTGCACTACATTCTTCATTCAGTGCAATTGTCTCATAAGCTTCAAACTTCCTCTTTTTGTTTAATATAACTTTTATAAATTTGACATAACTCGACATTTGTTCCAAAGGTTCCGCAAATGAAATATTGATTTTAAGCTTCTTAAATATCTCAAAAAATTTTAAAAATTATTGATCAAACTTTTGCTGTCTCAGTTTTTTTAAAAAAGGAGGTGCTTGTATTTCTAAATTATTTTTAATTGGAGAGACAGATTGTTCTGGGTCTTTAAAATTAGTTTCTTTAGGTTCTTCAATCTCTCTCTCAACTTTAATCTCTTTTTGACTTCCAACTTTTGATTCCTTTCCATTCTTAAGTTGAACAACTTTAATTTGCTCTTGTTCCGTTCCTTTGTCTTTAGGAATTACTTCAACATTACTAGGAAGCGTTCCCTGAGGTCTATTGGTAAGTGCGTAGCAATTTGTCCTTTTTTTATTCTCAATATTTCTTATTGCAGCACTTTAACTTTGCATCTGATGACCCATTTGCAAAACCACTTCTTATATAAACAATTCTTTTTCTTAAATTGTTGTTTATTAAAGCTAGGAGGATAAGAAAATTGATAGTTAGAATTACCCTGATTGGTCCAATTTCCTGCTGCTGATTTCGCTTGATTGTTCCCCCATTGTTTCACCACTAGAATTGTTCCAGTTAAAATTAGGGTGGTTTTTTAAACATGAGTTATAAAAGTTCGAATATGAGTTATTGGGTTTATTTGCAACTGCATGTAACATTTCTAATGATTGAGAATCATTCGTTTGTCATAATAAATTTTCTTCACTTGTTTGAGGTATTTGAGAAAAAATCATAACATAATTATCTAACTTTTTAGATAACGCAATAACTTGAGCTATTAAGATGGTAAAAACATCATTATCATGAATACTAGCCACTTTTTTAGGATTTATTCTTTCTGAGGGTCATTAAAAATTATTAGTGTTTATTTCTTCAATTATGACATGTGATTCATCAAATGATTTTGAAATATAAGATCCTTCAACAACAACATCAATTATAGATCTAAGGAATCTTATTAATCCATTGTAAAATGTTTGAATAATTAACCAGTCAGGTAAAACATGATGTGGATACTTTCTAAGGTGTTCTTTAAATCGTTTTCAAGCCTCATAAATTGACTCCCTTTTAAACTGATTAAAAAAAGTAATTTCATTTCTAAGCTTAACAGTTTTTTAAGGAGGAAAATATTTAGCCAGGAATTTCTGTGTCATTTTTTCCTAAGTTTTAATAGATCCAGGTGCTAATGAATTTAACCACATCTTAGCTTTATCCCTTAACGAAAAAGGAAAAAGTCTAATTTTAATCGCATCATTCAATACACCATGATAATTGAATGTTGCATAATGTTCTAGGAAAGTTTTAAGTTGTAAATTAGGATCCTCAGTTTATGTTCCCCCAAACAGATTATTTTGCATCATTTGTATTATTGCAGATTTAAATTTAAAATAAGTTAGTCGCTACAGCAGGGATTTGGATTCTTAAGTGAATTTCATCCGCCATAGGGTTAATATAGTTAACATAGTCCCTTAAAGGTCTTTGTAAATTATGATGTTCATTTTCATTAGTAAAAGTTTCAATGTTATTTTGTGGCGTGTTTGCCCTTTTTTTAAAATTGTGAAGTTTTTTTTGCTTTCAAATTCTTCTTATGGTTCGCTCTAATTCAAAATCGTAGCGTACTAAACTTTTATATCCCGAACTTCACAGGCAAAAGGTAAAATTCAGAAAATAAAATGCTAAAGAAATCCAAATAAAATAAAATTATTTTTTTTTCGTTTTTTGCAAATGTTTAGTATTTTTTTGTAATTTTCAAAATTTTGTAATTTTGGAAATTTCAAGTAAAAACTAAAATTTTTAGTAATAAAAAAATAAAGTTTCAAAGAAAATTCTAAAAAAGATATTTCCTTTAAAGTTTGGTTTTTCCGTCTTTTCCGCGACAACGGCGCCAAAAACTTGACCCGACCCACAATTACGCAAATATTTCTATTCCTTAATATGTCAAAAACTTAACCCAAATTATATTTAGCGGCTAGTGAGAATATATGTAATATGATAAAAATTTAAAAAATAGTTTTTTCATAAGGGTTACTGCGCGACTATACATATCGTTTCAAGTAATATAAACTTTTCTTTAAAAATCATAGTATCGATCTCACAGAAAGCCGAAAACAAGAATACAATGAATTGAAATGCATAAATTTTGTTTAAGAAAATTTTACTTAATATTATAGCAACTATCTAAAGATGAAAATAAAATTTACTAAACTCTACAATATGCAAGTAAAAGTAAGTGTAATGATTTAGACAATATATAAAAAAGAATATTTTTCTTGCCAATGATTCATAATCAGTGTAGGATTTTAAAATTGTTTAGAAACTTAAATGTGGTATTGTGACAAATATAAACATACTTATTCTTTCTTTCTTTTAAAATGTGCAAAGAACGTTGACTAATCTAAAGTTGGTGTCGGCATGTATAATAGTGCTGAGTAGGTTCAAGTTTCTCACTCTTAGATTACCCACTATGCCCTCTCTATAGGTCATACCAGTGACCCTTAGGTCTAATCTCTAGACCAAATTAATAAAAAAATTTAATCTGTCACTCTAGAAACATCAATTTTAATCCCAACAAATCTTATCTCCCTATATATTTGCACCCCTGTTTGGACGATCGCGACTACTTTTTCCTTCAAGAAATTTTAGCCCTTTCGGGCCTATAACTTACTCAACAGGTTTTAACAATACAGGTGACAAATTTGTAAAGTAAATGAAATACCGGTAAAAATATCATCACAATTTTTAGGAATAAAAGAAATTCTAAATAAAATCAAAATCACTTATTTAATTACTTCATATTGCAATGAAAAAGATAGAAAACTACTCACGAAGCATGAGGATAACAAAACAAAACTTATTTATAAAACTTCAATCGAAAGTACAAAACTTAAAGAGCAAGATAAACATACTTATCTGGAATGTTTCCCCAAACACTCCTTTGAAGTTGTCTGATTTCTCTGACTCCAACAACACTTACAAGACTCACAACCTCTAGAAATAACAAAGATTCACAAAGAAAACTTCTCACACACTTAACACACTCACACACTATGAGACTCTATAGATCTGACTCCCCTAGCCTCTTGGAATTAATTCATATTTATAGAGCTTTGAAAAGACCGAAGGGTTGTTTAAAACATCTCTTCAGACATCTCTTCAAAATTCAGCCTCATTCATTGAATCTTCTAGAAAATAACCGAGGCGCTTAGTCGCCAAACCGTCACACTTAGGTTTCAGTGAGTTTGGCTGGTTTGATATTTTTCTTCAATTTAGCCCATTTTGCTTCTTTTTGATGTATTTTTGTTTCTTTTTACTCTTAAATTTTTTTCTTGCACCTGCAACAAAAAACATAAAAATATCCTTCATTAAAATATGATATCCTAAAAAATTGAGTATAAAATGTGCATAAAAAATATGTCAATTTAAGGTGGATCAATTACTCCTGGGTTTTCCTTGGATAACTCATTATGTTGTTTTCATATTAGTTTTAAGTTGTAAACATTTGAATAAAATGAATAGAAGAAGAACAAATGTGTATAGAAGACAAAAAAAAAAACAAATAGAAATCTATAAATTTTTACTTGTTTATTTTAGCTACTTTCTTTAGTGGTTATTTTATGTGTTATTTGAATATTAATTTACTAGTGTTAGAATTAGAATTAGAATGACAGTGAATTGATTTCCACCGTCCGTTTTCATCTTGGTTAACTCTAAGCCCCGGGTTGGGTTGTGACAGACCGACTCCACAAAATGGGAGCCGCTCTCTATCACTGAACTTCCCACGTCATGCAACGATCGCGTGAATGCATCTTGCCCCATGTCAGTTTCAGAGTTCGCTGAATTTTATCTAGGCTAGTTCATGTTATAAACAAATGAATTTTTCTTTTAAAAGCATTATATCAATAAGGTTTAATTCTTTCTGATGTGATATAGCTTGGAAGTAATCTGAAGTTTATCATAAAATTGATGGAGTTCGTTTTAAAGTTGCCTAGATTATATTACTTTTTTGCTGTTTGCTTCATATAAAGTGGTTAGAAAGTCGTCTGTTATTAATCTATTGAATTTAAAAATTCATATTATTGGAACTGCTGTCTGAAATCTTTTTTAATATTGCTGCCGATTGTTGATATTTAATGTTTAGTTCTAAATGTGGACATGAATGCCTTTTTTCTGATTCCTAAGCAGATTTGTGGGGCGGATGTATGTCTTAAGTTTACAAGAAAGAGGATTTTTACTTCATACTTGAAAATTTTTCTTAGCATCTTGTAAACTGTGAGCACTAAATTATTGCCCTCTGCTAATAAATAAACAAATTTACTGCAGGACTTGTGGTTTCTGCTGTAGACCCACAACCAGGAGAAACCATATTTGATTGCTGTGCGGCGCCTGGTGGAAAGGCTATTTTTATGGCGTCTTGTTTGAAAAATGAAGGTAATGTTTAGTTGAATTTCATTTCTTTGGATATCATTTTTATTTTATTATGACTACCTCCCATCCTCCCCATCCCATAAAATGAAACCTTCCTTTCCCTATCTTTGAGCTAGCATTTAAAATTTGTTTGTTTTCTCTAAACAGAATATTTAAGTATTTTTTTAGCATCGTAAAAAATCTACAAGGACAAGGCCTGTACGATGCTTCATTGAGCTAGAATGAGCTTATGGAAGATTTTTACTTTCATTCAAATAGATGATGTTAGAAAAAAAAAAATGTTTTGCCCAGGAGTATTCCTCAAGCCCATGAGCTTTCTGGATTTGAAGAAATGTTGATTTCAAGGAAGTGAGGTTATAATATGCTGGTCACTTCATAGAATAACTTAAGCTTAAGACATACCTTGATACTTGGAGTTAGAAATGAATAAAAATAGGATTCCTTATTATGGAATTATAAGTTTCCTATTTTAGTGTTATTCTCTTTTATTCTCTTATTGTTATGTCACATTCCTTTCCTTATTGGGTTAGTTCATCTTTGGTAAGTTGTTATGGTTGTAATTTAGTGTGTTCTGACCATTATTATTTCATGAAAAAAGTTGTAATTTGATTATGTAAAAATAAGATAATGTGATTTTTTCCACCTTTCTTTATGATATCTAAACCAAGTTACAAGCCCTAGCCCTTCTTCCTCTAATGGAGCCTCTTCTTGCAGAAACCATGGGGGCCCAACCCTTGTGGCGCACCTCTCCTTCCTTCTCAGGCAATCTTTCCCCGCACTTTATAGTAGGATCACTTTGCAGCTGGTGCGAGGCTCTTTTCTTTGCCATATCAGAAATCCCAAACCTGCGAAGAGAAGTTCAACAATCGTTGGAGTCCCTTCAATCGACCTGCAAACCCTCCTCGACTCTTCCCTACAGTTGAAAATCTCTATTGCAAGCTCTCTGGATCCTCCTGCAAGCCTTCTCTAGCAATATCTTTTGTCGTTAGATCTACCCTGCAACTCGATATCTTCCTGTTGTAGGCCCTGCTCTACCGGATTCTCTTGTAGACCCTTTGTTGTTCACTTTGTTCATGCTGGAGCTTTCTTCCAGTAACAATAGTCGCCGCCGCAGTAGCATCAACCTTCAGACTCCTCTCTTGCCACAATAACAACAACTGATTCCTCTTCTATAACAACCACGCAACGAACCTTTCTTCCTACAATAGCTGCGACCAACTTCCTCCCTTTAACAAGCTGCAACCCAAAATATACATTGGGTTTATGAACAAGTACGGTTTGAAGTCGTATTCCACTCCAGAGGTTAATCGTCCATTGTGTGAACATTGTAAGAAATTTGGTCAAAGGATAGGTGTTGAAGACTACATGAAAAACTTGAGCAAGGGTGGAAGGACTAAAACAACTAGGCCCATGCTCCTACTTATTCTAAAGGGTTGGCTGACCCTAACCCTTTCACCAAGGAATAGCTGGAGGTGTTGAAGAAATTTCTTTCGAGCACAATTGAGTGGCCTACCAACTTAATGATACACCAAGACATCATGTCCTCATATCTCGTTGACAATGGAAGATTTTGACATTGGATAATAGATTCAGGTGCTTCTGATCATATGATTGTAGATATTCATGCTCTGACTAATTACCATGTCATGACCCGACTTGATAGTTTAGAATTACCCAAGTTAAAAATTGTAGTTGAACTACACAATTGTTTTAAGACTATAAAATAAATCATCATAGCATCTAATAAAAATAGTCCATAAAACCCACAAAGTATACTACACTGTAATCAAATCCAATCAAAACATCATAGTCTGAAAGTAAAACAATCACAATCCAACCTAACATCAATATGAAATAAATAGCACAAGAAATTAGAACCATAACAAACAATCTACCATCTAGTATCATTAGTCACATTCTATAAACCAAGTCCTATATATCTGTCTTATCAACTTAATGTTTTATCGAAAAGAAATAATTAATTTAAATAGTAACTTTACTACAACTTAGTGAGCACTTATTAAATTAATATGCAAAATTTATCCTTGAATGTCCAAAAGAAATGTGATTCATTAATTAATCAAAATGTAAGCTTTCATTTTAAAATAATCATTTCTATTTAAATTCAAGTATTTATTTATTTTTCAACCTTTTTGGGAAGTCATATCAGGGTTGTCGTAATGCCCGGAGATATCCTCAAAAAGTTATACTCGTAGGTACCTTCAAATAATTGTACCTGTAGGTACCTTCAAATAATTGTAGCTGTAGGTACCTTCAAAATTTTGCAGATAAAGGATACACATGTATGTTTTTTTTTTCCGTGTAAGGGTATAATAGCGTCCCCAACTAATTCCATAAGGGGGTATATTCTGATTGACTAAATGATTTACATTTATTTCCTTTTTTTATTTTATACATTTAAAGTTATTAAACAACTATTTACTCTTCCCATATTTATTTTCATTTTAAAGATCAGTTAGCTTTCCATATGCATATAATCAGAATAGCATGTATTTTTTAGGCAATAATGCATTTTATTTTTAAATGAAATATTAATTTAATAAAAATAAGAAATCAATTACGCGTCTAAAGCTTGAATGTCTTTCTGTTTCACTTGAATTCTCATTTTTTATTCCTTAATTAACACTTGTTGCACCTTTATAAAAATCTTAGATATTCAAAAATTAAGTTTAACACAAACTTTTAATTAACATAATTATCTAAAGAAGATACATCAACCATAATTCTTACCTCTAAGTTACTCCTCGCTCACATAATCTCCACATTCCTTGCTCGATCCCATTCTCTTCTTCTTTCACCAATTCAAAGATTTTCAACCTTAAATTTTTTTATTCGTAATTTCAATTATTAAACATTAATCTTAATAATAATTTAATATACTAATTTATTAAAATAATTTCATAAGTAACCACAAATATTTATCGTCTCCTCGTATGATACTAATAATTTCAGTCTTCCATTTTTACGAAGTAAAGGTTCTTTGATTAAAGGTTTCTGTTATAAATTAATAACAAATATTAATGCTTATAATATTTATTTAAATTAATTAAATATGAAATTAAAACTTACCCTCACCTTAAGGCTCTGTTCGACTGCCCTTACTTTCACGCACGCGAGCTGCACTTCTTCAGCCCTCTTCTACCTTTGGTGGCTAATCAGGCATGTTACGCTTTGCACGGTAGAGAAAAGCCTCATGATCCTTCCTCCTCCTTTGTCTTCTTCTAATTTGGCTTCTTGTTCCGAGCACATGCAAATGACCTTCCCTCGCTCGACTCCAGCATTGGCAAGCACATTCTCCTTCCTCTTCTCCTTCTCCTTCACTGTTGTCTCTTCCTGTTCTTCCTCTTTGCACTATTAGGGCACGACTCCTCAACTTCGCTTGTGAGCCTCCTTTGCTTGTTGCACAGAGCCCTCGACGCTTTTTTTTTTTTTTGGAGAAACCCTCGATACTTCTTCCCTCCTAAAGGAGTGAGATGTTCGACTCTCACTACTCTCTCTATCTTCCTGTTATCCCTTTCATGATTCTAATGAGATGACGTTTATAATCTATGGATGAGAAACTGTCGAGACAGTTATTTGAATCCCTTATGGTCGATTCAAAAATACCCATTTTATTTTAATATTATTATTACTTGGTTAGACATATCAAGAGTTCACTAACTTCAATTTTATCTTACTTCTTGATGGACTTCACTTCAGAATTGTTGGGAAATGGGAATTGAAAGTTTTAAAGATATTTAACTCTCTTTTGAGTTATATATTCCCTAATTAGATTGCAACTTATTGTCGATTAACAACCTTACACGTAACTTGATTTGTGTTATTAATTTTCATTCTAACACTTGTGAATTTCATGTAGTGGATTTGGGAAAAGTGATCGACAATGTTGAATTGTATCAAGGTCTATATATGCTCAAGAAAAATTATTCTTTTAACACACAAGTGCCCACTTCATACTCTTCCCTACTGATGAGGCTGATATGTCTGATTCCGTTCGAAGTCAAGTTCTATTTTGGCATCGTTGCCTGGGTCATCTTAATTTTCATTATGTTGTAATGCTATAATCTCGTTTTTTTATTATTAAAAAATCAACTATTTTTCAATGCGAATTTTTTCAATGGTCTAAACATACTCGTCACATCTATTCTGTGTCCCAGTATAAACTCTTGCATCCTTTCTCTATCATCCACAGTGATATTTGGGAACCATCAAAATTGAAAACTATAAATAGAGCGAGATGGGTTGTTCCTTCTATTGATTACTAGACTAGAACCAGTTGGATATTCCTCATGAAGGAAAATTTTGAAATTGCACAAATCTTTCATTCCTCCCATAACATGATTTCCACTCAATTCTACTGCAAAATTCAGATCCTCAAAACTGATAATGTAAAGGAATACTTCAATTCTATCATTGAACCCTACCTTGCAAAGAACAGTTTCATCCATATGTGTTTTTGTGTTAAAACTCTACCACAAAATGTGATAACTGAGAGAAAGAATAGACATATTCTCGAGATATCTTGGTTTATAATACTTTCTCTGTGTCCCAAAAATATTTATGGGAGATGTCATGCTCATTGTTTACTGCTCACAATCACCTACCTCATTAATAGAATGTCAAGCAGGGTCATTGGATTCAAAGCCCCTCTCAATCGTGTGATGAAAAAATACCCTTATGTCAGAGTTTTCTCATCCAATCTTTCTCTAAAAATATTTGGTTATCCCTTTTTGTTCACATTCATCAACCAAACTGTACAAAGTTTGACCCAAAATCCATCAAATTTATCTTCCTTGGGTATGCTTTTAACAAAAAGATGTACAAGTGCTATTCTCCCATTAGAAAAAAGCAATATAAGTCCATGGATGTTACCTTCTTTGAATGCCAACCCTACTATCCCAAATATAATATTTAGGAGGAGAACCTGGGTGAATATCGTACTTGGGAACTACTCTATATTCATACTTATCGAGAGTCATCAC